TAATCAAATGACTTGTTCAGACTACCGTGCTGATGTTGTCTTTCGATTTAATATGTGTTGGAAGAAGTATACTAGAATAGGATTTTTTCGCTCGATCCAGATTGAGATTAAGGCAAATTGCGAACTGGATAATAAAATCATCAGTAACACTGACTGAAGCCGGGTACTAAAATATATACGAATGATTGGAGAAAGTATAGATGCCTACATAGACTTGATTATCTACATCATGTTGTTGTCCAAAAGTGGTATTTTGTGAACTCGACAACCGTAGTGGACACAAACAATATCTACGCTATGTGATCAAGGCTCAAAGGGTTTTTGCGACCTTATCATGGTTCCATGGGGCCGACTATTATGTGGCCATATGCATGAGTTCTTCTACCGTATGCATCAAAATCTTAGAACCTTTGAACCTCTTTCTAACCTTGACAAATTTTTGAACCATGTAAAAGAAATGTATCCATTTTAATACCTTGGTTTCGTATAATATATTTTTACTTTACACACTGTTTTCTGATTGGCTAATATTTATCAAGGTCACGTAAGATTCGTCTGAAGGTCGTCCATAAATTATAGTCTCGCCACAATATTAACTAATTTACTATTTAACTTAATATAAGACTATATCACTTAAGGTAAAGAAATTAAACATAATACACTTTCTATGAAGCGTCTATAATCCGACTAAAACTGTGGTATGTGCTACTGATATCGACAGATTATAAGTAGCATGTATCATCAATCGATAGTGAAATGTCTGGAGGTAAGAGGTTAAGAAGATTGAAGAAAAGAGAACGAGAACAAAGGATGACTGGTGTGGAGATGAAGGAACAATTGAGTCTGATACAATTGATGGATATTTTACAAATGAAGTGTTTTATTGTATAGTTCGCAGATTTTACTAATAGATTCTGTGTTTTCATTCACTACAGGTCTATCAAAGATAACTAATTCCATTCAACTTTTGAGCTATTATATCCGTCTATTTTGACAGAAAATTCAAGACACTTATACTATAAAGTTTCTTTCTCTATGATGAATTAATCTTGAAGGCTAAACTTTTCAACCAAGAATTTATGAATGATATAAAATGAGTGTTCTTTTAGACTAGAAACAACTTTTGATAATTGTTTGAATCTTTGCACTTGTGCGAATAGCTGATGGAATAAATCATGAAGCGCGAAGATAATCAAATACTGAGTCGAGTACGTTATCATTTAGTTGTTCAGTTATAATTCAATGCTCCAAATATAATGTTAACAAGTTTTGACGAAGTTGGACTGAAGCTAACGAGCAAACCCAGTAGACACGTTTCATCCTTATCGAGACCAACCAGCTGAATGTTTTTAAACCCTACTGATGATGCATAAACTGGTACTTGAATTCACTGCTTTTTACTTCAAATGTCAACGCGTTGACCACTCAGTTGTTAAGTTCGGTTAATCACTAACCTGTTCAATGTGTATTAATTTATTTATAGATATATGTATTTTCCCGCTATCGGCATTAAAAGTTTCTGTTTATCAAGGAGGATTGTCTCAATAAAGCTATTTAGTGGTACGTTTTTGCTAAATTTGGATTGTAGCTGGGATCGGAAGCCAGAGCTCTCCTTTCATCCCATTTGGGACTCGGCAGTTAGATGTATCAGTGGAAATTTGGTATTTTTGGTGACTCATAACATAAAACCCTGTACGAATTAGTGAAAGTCCTTTTTTCTGTTTTTATCTTCGTATCAGTTCTTATCAGGACTAATTTATGATCTATCCATCTTAAAATATATAACTCATTAACGAAATCTTTTGTTCTACTCACATGGTTTTAAAACTAATTCAAATACAACTTTCTTCAGTCTGGGCAGCCGGTCAGTTTCACAGCCCTCACACAAACCAAGTAACTTGTATGGCGAATATGTATTCGATGTCCCTTTGTACCAATATTTATGTGTTCAAATAAATAAATAAATACAAATACAAAGACACTATAATCAATACGCTAAGATTCTAAGCTTGAGCAAAATATTTAAGGAACTAGAATATTTAATGTTAATTTGCTCAAAGTTTCCAGCTTTTTATAAAAGAAAGAAGATTCGTAAGTTATTTCATCGAATGTTGTATTCCATTGTCAACTATGAACTATTTCTACTACAAATTTATCCATCAGTAACAAAATAAGAACTCCACTAATCTCAATTATACACAAACAATTCATTTTTTAATAATTGACATCATGAGTCAATTGGAGCTAGACAACTATGGAAAACCTGGAAGCACTGGATGGCCGTCTCGTCGTAGTATGGGACTGCTCAGCTGTGCGCACACACTATCCCACCTCGTGAGGTTTGAACCCAGGATCTATCAGCCTCACGTGCGAACGCTTGACCTATAAACCACTGAGACAGCCGGCATCCAACGGTGTTAATGTCTAACTTCAACTAATCCACAAAAATGATCGACAAATCTACCATTGTCATCAGTGAGTTACTATCTCACAACAGACCCGGTTGAACTCCACTGGTCACTGCTTCTACTAGAACTCCAGGAACTACTTTTCGAAGCCAGTCACTAGTGAGCATATGTTGATTAATATCAGCAGAGGTTTTTGTGGATATTATAGTAGAGGTTAAGCGTTTGCGCGAGCGATCGATAGGCACTGGATGAGAATCTCGCGAGACTGGATCGTGGGTTCGCATTACCACTGAGAGGTCCTGCAATATAACGAAACGGCCACCTAGTACTTCCAAGTTTTCCATGGTTGTCTATCTTCAATCGACTCATCGTCTCAACTATCAAAATTACTATAATATCCACAAAAATCTTTTCTGATATTAATTCATTTATCGCTTGGTATTATTTCCGTGAACCTTCCCATTAATATTTAGGACTGCAATTACTCAGTCTCTTATTGGTATATGTACATCCTGTGTTGGATTGATTTGATATTGTTTTAATTCACATGCAATATAAACAGAGACGGATGGTCACTAACAATGAAATTCACTACGTATGTTTCATCTTATTTGAGACTCGTCAGCTGAATGTACCATTATCTCAGACTTGATATTCAATAATTCTAATTACTAATTATTTATTCTTTATATTATTCATAACAAAATTGATATTAATTAGTAAAAGCATTTAGAATACTTTGAAAATAAATAAAAAAAGGAACATGGTACAGAGAATTTTCTTAGTTTATAGACAAAAAATAAACAAACAAATGATTCATCATTATCACTAAATAAATAAATAAAATAAAACAATCTTGCACATACGCACACACACACACATCTCTATTAAACTAAATTGAACATATGAAACGAATCACTATAATGTATATTGAAATATATTGGTACCATAATAATTAAGATATTTTGTTTAAATTATATTGAATATTGAACTGAATAAAGATTTGATGATGATGATGATGATGATGATGATGATGATGATGTGAGAAGATTTCTGGAGTCATTGAATGATGAATCAGGACTATACATTTTATTGATGGATTTTGATAAGATCTTTGATAAAGCGCCGTATAACAGACCTCTATTAAAGCTGAAAAATCGAGAAACCTGTTCACTTCCACTAAGGTAGTTCAAGAACTTACTTGTTTGCCTTTGGTGGAAGGAAACTAATTATTTCAAATGCCCCTTTAAAAGATCAGTGCTTAGCGGAATACCACAAGGCTCCGTTATTAATCCATTCTGTTTTTGTTTTTTATCGCATTTTAACACATAGATATTGGTACAAGGAAGCACCAAATACGTATGCCCTACACAAATCTTATTAGATTTGTGTGGGGGCTGTGATAATGCCCGCACACTCAAACCGGAGCAGGTGGTTATCTTAGTGGGCCACATCCCAAGCCTTTGACCTATAGGTGTCATCCATAAGGCAGTGGACAAACGTCGCGAGATGCAGTCCCATGGTAGCCGGTGACCAACGATTGGTTCATACGCCATTTGTTCCCACAGGATACTGGAGCCCATGTACACCACTGATTTGTAACCAGGGTTTTCCAACTCCCCTAGGTGGACTCACCGTGTCCACCAACCCGGTTAAAGCGCCGGACATTCGGTTTTCTTTCTGTTAATTTTGTAAACAACATCCCCTCCATGAGAAGGCAATGGGTAGTACCTCACTGGCAGAGGCTATATACGTGTGGCCATGTGAGAGCATTTGGAGAGGGAGAGTGGACTCTCCCCACTCTTGGCCGTACCAGGCCATTTTGGGGCACTTTACATGAATAAACTTCCGCGTATCCCTAAATTTCCGATAATACTCTTGGTTGAAAACATCAAAATATAACAAAAGATAACATAGGATCTCAACAAATGTACACTACTGACTAATCTGGACGTTCTCATAAGCTACTCTAAACTGTTGTTAATCCATATCAACGTAACCATGTGTGCCTATATCCACACTGGACACACATGTATCAATAACCCCAACACAGATGAAGGGTTAGCGACTTTATTACTGTCCCATAACGTTCAAATTATAACAGTAGTTCGTGCTTTTAAAACTGATAAACACCGCCGTTAAGTAGCATTTAAAGGATTTAAGAATTTGTGTGCTCCAAAGAGCGGTTTTACCCAGTTTAATACAAATAATGTTTACAGCTTTCTACCGGTGTATTTTCCACTCCAAACTTACAGAGAAAAAATTTGTGCAAGTGTCTTATGGCTTATAGCACAGTGTTTTTAAAAACATATTGCTGAATGCACCATACATATTTACCATATTTAAATAATGAGGTGATGTATATATGTTGTAAATATTAAAACCATTTATCATCAGCTTGTGTATCGCTTTCCAACATAGTTTTCCGTACTTGGTTATTTGTGAGGCCGTAAATCATTGGAAAGCTTATTTTAAATAATGCTCGCTCATGTGGTATTTGATGTGCCTAACATATGTCATGTAAATCGCTTACTGTTATCCTTATCACATATCAGCATCTACTTCCTCTTCTATATTTCTTTTCTTATTTTTACACTTTGGTCTTCTCACACTGTGTGCATTACCGACTGACCAAATTACTTGGTAAATTATTTCTCAGGGCAATTATCTTCCCTTAGCACATAAATCTTCACTTTATTAATCTTTATAATACAACCAACTAACCTCCTGCTCGGTGAAGTAGTAGCTGCTCGTGCCAGGAACCCTACTATCCTGGGACGAACACAGTCACTTGAGTTAATAGGTGTACAAACCCATAAACAACGACCAAACCAACAATAACTAGTGCGGTTAAGCGGCTGGACAATCATCGACTGAGCATCAACAGACAAATGTAATTATACTAAAACAATTAGTAGTGGGAGCAAGAACATCAGTCGGTTTATACAAGCTCGTGACAAAAAGACTGAATATTGAAGGTCCCAGTTTGTAATGTTGCCGATTTTGTTTGAAGTAAGTGATTTATAAATAAACGTCCTGCTCTAAAACTGCAAAAACATACTTCATGCTTCTTCAGTTTCAGTTTCAGTTTGGGAAGGACAGGAGGCTCGATGGCCTATGTTAGTCCTGGCAATGGTGGTCTCTCAGTTGATCAAACTTTCTCTTGAAAGAGTCGACGGATGGAGTCTCAACCACGTGCTGAGGTAGTGAATTCCACTCGTTGATGATTCGATGGGAAAGTCGATGGTCAGCTGACAAGTAATTTGTTCTCGGCTTGTGAACTTTTTTGGAGTGTCCTCGTAAATTCTCTATTTTGGAAGACAAAAAATGAGGGCATATCAGGTGCAAATTTGGCACTAAGCAATTTGAAAACTGTAATCAAGTCGCCTCTAGTTCTGCGATATGACAACGGGAAAAGGTTCAGCTTGGCCAGTCGAGATTCATACGGAAGCTTCGCTATTCCGGGAACCAGCTTAGTCGCCGTTCTCTGAATCTTTTCCAGAAGCTCACTGTTTTTTTAAGCAGGGGCTAGCCGCTTGTATGCAGTACTCAAGTTTAGGACGAACGAACACTGTATACAAAGTCAAAAACGTTTTAGCGTCGACATGACTAAAAGCTCTACGTATTGACCATAAGGTTCTAAAACCTTTGGCGGCTATTGCACGGCAGTGTACAGTAGTCTTTAAGTCTTGACTAACGATAACTCCTAAGTCATTATATGTCTGGACGATAGGTAGCTCAGAGTTATTCATCGTGTATGTATCTGTGCCTTGATGACCGATATGCATCACAACACACTTGGAAGTATTTATCGGCAACTGCCATGTTTGAGACCATTCAGATAATTTCTTTAGGTCATTTTGAAGTTCTAAGCTATCACTCTTACATCCTATCGTTCTCCATATCTTGACATCGTCGGCATATAGCAAGACCGATGATGATAGGAGACATGGAAGGTCATTTACATACAAGAAGAATAGCACTGGCCCCAAAACTGTACTCTGGGGCAATCCACTAAGCACAGTTTCCCAGCTAGATAACTTTGAGTTCACCCTTACTATTTGTTGACGCCCAACTAAGAAGTCTTTTATCCACATCAATAAATTGCCTCCAATCCCGACATGTCTTAACTTATATAACAGCCGGTTGTGCGGAACTTTATCAAAAGCTTTACTGAAATCAATGAAGGCGACGTCTACAGGTAGCTTTTGGTCCTTAAGAGCACACCAGCTTTCACGAGCCACTAATAAATTAGTGAGACAAGAATAACCTATTCTGAAGCCGTGCTGCTTCTCCGAGAGGATCCGGTTTTTATAGAGATACTTAAACAGCTCCTTCCGAATAATCTTTTCTAAGATTTTAACAACCACACTAGTTAGGCTAACAGGGCAGTAGTTCTCAGGTTTGTGTTTCGTACCTGTTTTGACGACAGGACTTACTATGGCGTTTTTCCAGTCTTTCGGTAAACGACCCTGTGTGTCGACAGATCGAGTGCTGTTTGACGTGTTCCGACTATGCTTACTAAAACACTTCTTTGCAGCATCAATCAGTGAGATGGCCTCGGTTAACAAGCTGTTTGCATCCGAGCAGCACTGTTGACAAAGCCATACACAACCCTTCTTACTGAACCGTTTGAAAGCAGCAGGCGTTAAGTTCGTGCAAACTTCGTGGTACCAGCCTTTGCACTCGTCGCACTGCATGCCGCTTTCAACGGGATAACGACAACCCGGACGTTGACAACTGCTTTTTTTACACTGTCCGGTCATTTAGGAGGGGTTTTTCAATATGCGATGATACCCAGAGACAAAAAAATTATCAATGACCAAAAAAAGTGAAGAGCTGTAGATTGCTACGACCAAAAGTACTAACAGATACAGTTGAAAAACAGGTACTCGAGAGTACCAACGACAAAACTAATTGAGAGAACAGTAAAAACGATACTCTGGTCGAATACTTTAACTGAAATAAGTTCAATTAAAGTGAAAACGGTAGTCTTGATATGTGATAAACGATCAAAACAAACAAATTTACTCAGCGAGGAAAAATACCACTGTCCTTTTTAAATAGCGCAGACTAACTTTTCATAGGCTAATGTTATTAAACGAGACAGCTGTGGTACAGCGATTAAAATAGAATTCTTCCACCATCAATATATCATTTTTCCTAGCACATAAGGTTAATTTTACTAATAATTACTTTTTATGGTCGCTTAAGAGAAAATCATCGAGTATATAGTGAAAGTTTACTCCACAGTTGCACCGATCTGTATTTAGTAAACGACCAATAGTTAGGTACGTACATTCTCATGAAAAACTGAATTTGAAGGATTCTAGTTGCTACCTGGATTAGTTAAGCCGAAATATCTGTTAATATTGAAGATAAATATGGAACAAAACTACTGAAATAAAACTCATGTTATGTGATAGTATCAGAATTCGACGAACAAGCATTTTTCAAACGGACAAAAGTTGTTCTGCAGTAGATAAATAATGGTCTCGAAAAGGACTCAATAACACATAACGTGTGAGTGAAAGCACTAACTCATATATAACTCGTATTGCCACTCAAAATAGTACCCTAGACAATTTACTAAAACAAAACGGCATTAAGAAGTATACAGTCAGATATCTATCTCTGAAAGACCTAAGTATGACATCGATTCTCTTGTTAAAGAAATGGGTCACCTTCAGTTCCTTCTTTGCCTATACTTACTTGATAATCAAAGAATTCTGGTTGCATTGGTTACGTTACAGTGATTCAGTATCTATATAGCGTTCCTAGATCTATTTTTACAATGACATTAGAAATGAGAAGATTTATTTGTGTTGTAGCAAAATTTCAACTATTGTCTAGTCTCTGAGACTTAGTGTATTTTAGGTTATCAAACTATTTAGTCGACTTACCGAAAATCGTCTTATATATATGTAACGATGATTGTTGAACTTCTTGTTACGTATCTCTGTAAATGAGCTGCGTTATCTGAAACATCTTCCGAACTTCATGTTCAACAACCAAACGAACTGACATTCTGAGATAATGTTTTTGGTGAGAAGCTGTCGTAGCACCTAGCAGAACTCTAACAGTCTGTTCAACGAACCGACATGACATACCACTGGGAAACAAGCATTGAGATGGGGTTTAGCAGTTACTTTTCCTTTATTTTAAGGAGGTAAGACATATTCTACTTTCTTCTGTCGATAAATGAGAGAATTTCATTCGCGCTCGGCTGATTTATATTTTTGCTATTTGCTCCTAACCGTTTGTGAAACAAACTATTGGTCGAGAAATTCGATGTTTTTACAAACTTGACAAGGATTGAGCAAACACCAAATTGAAGCTTAACAATGACACTCATCTTCATGTTTATACACTAAGTATTTCTTTTATGCTTCATGGATTTTATGTAGCGTTCTGTAATCACCCGAATTTCATGTACAGTTGTGTTATAACATTTACAGAAAACCTATTTCAAAATGTTTGTAGTCCTCCATTGCATCACAATATGACGTCTTCTTTGTGTCCATATGTGTAAGTGAGAATCCATGTATACAATTTACGTGGCAACAGTTTGTAGCGTGGTGTCGAGTTGAGATTAACTATGAACACCGCTACAGACAAACACGTGCCAAGTAAATCAGAAGGCGAAGGTTGAACGTAACCAAATAAATCCATAAAATCCACGAGAAGCCAAATATCAGAAGGCAGTTAGTGGACCAAGTCGAGATATATTTGCTGGCGATCTCGTGGTATCGAAAGGATACCGAGATCGTGCCAAGATACAACCTTGGTTACAGAACGTAATCGAAATCGCGCGAAGTCACAATAAAAAAGTGTGTGCATAATGGATGCTTTTTAGCACATTAGAACAGTCACTGGTACAATTTACCATAATAATAATTGTTTTCAATAAACCAATCGTGTTCTCGTGATAAAGGTGAGTCACTACACGTTCTTTGCGTTTTATTTTGTGCAAAATTACTTGATTCACGCGTATCAAGATGACATTATGTTCCAACTGAAGTTACTGCTATTGTTTTACTCGGCATTTTGGTCCCTAATCAGTCAATTGTTATCTATCATTATGTAAACGCTGCTAATTTGGTTCAAGTTGACCATATTTTCTGGCAGCCGTCATATTGAGTAACCATACTCCTAATTGTTCTATTCAATCGATCGCTCAACAGTCTCACGGTTTTATTCATAAACGACTGACGTTTACGGACTCGTGTCTGTTGATCTCAAAGTTGGACGTCCAGTGAATTGCTCATCCGGTTCAACAACACTCTGTTAAAAACACCGAAATAGTGTGGAGTCTATGTAGTTCCCATACTTGCTGATATCGTCTTTCTTTGGTATCTTGATGCAGTCTCCCTCTTTCCAGTCTGTCAATACGTGTTCCTTTACTCAAATTTTCCGGAATCAAAGGTAGAGAGTGTGTAAAGTTACTTCTAATTCTGACTTCAGTGCTCCGGCTGTTATATTGTCATGTCCTGATGTTTTCCCACTCTGCATTTGTCTCATGGCCATCTTGACTTGTTCGACCTTTGGTGGGGTGACATGTATTGAAAGGTCTGTGTGTGATGCTTCAATATCCGAGGATTTACTAGAGCTGACCTATTCAAGAGTTGTTGGAAGTGTTCTGCCCATCTGTCTCTCTGTTCTTGGATCTCGGTGATTGTCTTGCCTTCCTTGTCCTTCATCGGTCTCTCTGGTTTATAATATTTCCCTACCAGTTTCTTCGTCGTGTCATGTATTCATATGATATTCCCTTCCATTAGAACCCATCCACTGTCGTTGTCATCTCTTCCACTTATTTATGCTTGTCAGCTCAAATGCTCCTCCTCACTTACTTGTTTGCCTCTGCGTATTCAACTTGTGCTTGAACTTTCTCTGCTCGTGTTCGACTGTAGTTAATTGCTGTCTTCTTGTTCTTCCTTTCTTGAAACTTGTTCAGGTTTCCCATGTAGATCCACTCATTTCGATGATGCCTCTTGCAGCTCACCACTTGCTGACACGTTTAAGTTAATGCTACTTTGATCCCTTTCCAATTGTCCTCCATAGTAATTTCTTTTTTTTCAGTAGATCTTGTAAGTAGATCATGGAACCTGTTGTTGAGAGTTATCTTGAATTTGTTGAGTTTGTTAGTATCTCGTAGGAAGTCTGTATTGAACCATTGTACTGCTATTTCGTCAGCTGTGTAATGCTTTTTTAGGTTCAGTTTCATCTTGGCAACCACAATCACGTGGTTATTTTAAGTTATGTCTGCTCTCCTCCTGGTCATCACGTTTCTCGTTGTCCTTTCGAATTTTTTGTTGATACAAATATGATGTATCTGGTTCTCTGTGATGTGATCCAGTTGGTCCTATGTAGCCTTGTGTATACGCATTATCCACTAGACTACTAAGTTTAGCTAACTACTTACTGGTACAATATTTATTTTATTGTTTGAAAGGGTTTAAATGGTATCGTTGTTGATATTCTTGACTGAATTTTGATTAGTTTTTATTAGTATGTATGCATCCTATGAGGATTGCCTGAATATATTCATTATGTCACAAGTTTTATACAGAATGGATGGATTGTAGATTCAATTTATCGTAAATTCCTCGTTAGTATGGTTTCTGTTGAGAATCATGCCAAACTGGAAGAGAAATATCAGAGCATGAAAAGTAAAGGAACTGGAAATGACTTAAAAAAACACTGGAAATTTATAAGATGATGTAGAAAACCTTTGAATATCTCATAATTACTCGTACTACTTATTAAAATAAAAGTAGTTTGCGAACTCTGACTCAATTGTATCCGGTCCCCAATGAATCATTTCTAAAATTAGCTCGTTTTTATTGATGTCCATTTTATGCTGAACTGACTGTTTATATTCAGCAGATCCGTACGCTATAAAGTCTTAAACGTACTGTATGGTTAGTTATCATCATATTTTTTTGACTGAATAACGTTTATGAATTAATGTTTATGCAAAATTCTGGTTTTGTGAATTTCCTCCCGATGTCCACTAATTTAAAGTCCACCAATTCAATTAATGTATATACTAAGAACGAATAATAGTCCAAGATGAGTTTTAATCCATTTCCTAAACTATTGATCAGAACGCCAGTGACAAAAGACAAGTGCTTCGCCTTATTTTGTAATAAAAATATCTATCCTGATTCACTGGAGAATCAGTTCAAACATATACCACTTTGATCTATTCATTTTCTTTAAATAATCAGATTTGATTATTACGAGGTTTTTGATTGATTTAAAACACTCATTCTCACCATAAATCTGTAAAGCATTTCTTGTTTTGTTACTGAACTCCTTAATAATGCGCACTCTACCAGTTCTGTCGTTATGATACAGGAAATTTCACAAGCAAGCTATTTTTATGATTGAACATCCTTTGTAATGAAAGCTATTATCTTGTGGATTGATCAAAATACAAATGAAAGCCGATAGAATATTTTCCAGTTAATGCAAAAGACATCTTAAATACATTATGACTCATATATATACATATATACGTGTTTTTCCTTAAACCGTCCGCATCGAATGTCTCAATGGTAACGTTTTTGATCAGGTGACATTGAGTGCTAGGGGCTCGAATCAGTTGATGAGTATTAGTTCATAACAAGATTGCTGAAACTCCATTCTGGAGAGTTTCAATCACTTATAAGTCTAAATTGAGAAATGCTTCCTGTCTATTCCAGCTGAACACATAACATATAATTATTGCAATGGCTAAGATCATGAATCAGTTGAAGCTCAATTTCGTGGATTAATTGAAGTTAGACATTAACACCGTTGGATACTGGCCGGCTCAGTGGTCAAGTGGTTAGGTGCTCGAGCGCGGAACTAGTAGGTCCTGGGTTCGAATCTCGTAGGGGGCGGGGTTGTGAATGTGCACTGCTGGGGAATCCCACAATAGGACGAGAAGGTCATCCAGTGCTTCCAGGTTTTCCATGGTGGTCTAGCTTCAACTGACTCATGATCTAAACCATTGAAATTACTATAATATCTACAAAACCCATGTGACAGAATTATTTAATCAGAATTTTTATTTAGTAATATTCTGATCAATCAGAATTAAAATCCTTAATATCCCTTCTTATTGATATATTGACTTGTTATTGAATGAAATTACTATAACGGTGGTGTTTTTTTTCTAAAAGTACATCATTTCTATCAAAGAACTACGATTAAAGGACTTTGTAAAACTTACTATTTTCATTTATCAAAGTCAAAAACTCAAGAAAAAAAAAGCTATGAGGTCGTTTTTGGAAGAAGAAGAAAAAAAAGGTTTTGGAAATTACTGGTTGTTACTTTATTCAAGAATTCGGTTTTATCAATCTAGGCATGTCATTTATCGAGATAAACATTTGATCACACATTACATACTTGTTAAGAGCATTTATCTAGAAAAATAAAAGGTCAACTATACTAGAAACGGGGTAAGACGAGATAAGGATAATAATAAGAGTAATAATAATAATGTGAAGACATACTATTAAAAGGTTAGATGAACTTGTGAACCTTAAATGTAAAATTGTATCGGAACGCGTGAAAATG